TCATGAAGTACTAGGAAGGCTGAGAACTGCTGCTCTAGAGTGTCATGATGTACTAGGAAGGCTGAGAACCGCTGCTCTAGAGTGTCATGCAGCACTAGGAAGACTGAGAACCACTGCTCTAGAGTGTCATTCAGCACTAGGAAGACTGAGAACTGCTGCTCTAGAGTGTCATGCAGAACTAGGAAGGCTGAGAACCGCTGCTCTAGAGTGTCATTCAGCACTAGGAAGACTGAGAACTGCTGCTCTAGAGTGTCATGCAGAACTAGGAAGGCTGAGAACCGCTGCTCTAGAGTGTCATGCAGAACTAGGAAGGCTGAGAACTGCTGCTCTAGAGTGTTATATTTTTTCTAGAAGGAACTTCAAGGTCCTCATCTCAAAGCTTGTTTTCTCTGGTGAACTTTTTCTTCAGTTGTGTTCCTGAAAATTGAACTCAGGGTTTCATGGACACATAGGAAAAGACTCTAGCACTAAGAGCCCTAACCCACACATAACTCTTAAGGCTTTCCTTGCCAGCTGCTTCCTTCAAGTTTGAGGTATAATGAGCCTTTTGTATTATCTGGCCTCTTTCTACAAACAAATGATAGTTTGAGTAATGTGTTAATGCCTAAACCCAGGGATCTTCCACTCTCATGTAAGAATACTCTCAGAAGCAGGCCCAGAGAGCGCTCCAGAAAAATTACTCAATGGTCCTTACCTTTTTCCTCCTCTGGCCACTGTTGGTGATTTTGTCTGGAGTAACGCCGAGGTCAGCCAGCACTTTGGCAATTCCTCTGGCGTCTACCCCGCAGTTGGGAGCCACGTTGGTCTCACATCGACGATGGACATTCATTTTGCAGACTGTAGGGAAACATGGGGGATAGACAGCCAATGCTCATGCCCAAAACATGACCTTTACCAAATTACAGAAGGAATGTGCTCATTTGAAAGAGATTGGAATATGAAGAAAAATAAAAATAGATAAAACCACCGCCTACTCCATTACAAAGAACTACAGTCACCCACCAGCCACCTTGCAGAGAATGCCCAGAAGATGATTCTGGTTGTTTCTCCCTGATGCTATTTCTGCATACATGAAGAGCAAGCAGAAGTCACGTTTCCATTAGGGCAATAGGATACTGCCTCTGTGAGAACCAACTTATTTTCACTGACCTATGCTTGATTCTAGGCTCAAATGGATGCATGCCACATATGTGGTCTGCCCACCGCTCTAATGTGGGTCACACAATACAGGGTGCTCCCTGGTAATTACAGGAGACACTCAGCGAGCTTCCAACAGGGCCAGAAGAAAACAAACAGCCCTGAAATCAGCCAGAGTATTTCTGCTTGTCCTACACAGACCTGTCCTGAGAAGAAACATCTTGTTTGAGCTTTATCCCTGGGTTTTATCAGATCCTAATGAAACCTGGAGAAACATTATGTCCAGACTAATCACCCCATTTTGCCTGAGGCTTGAGCTGGGAGCACTGTGGGGTTTATACTCCACAGGTACAAGCTACTTATAAGACACCACACCACAGGGCATTTACTGCCAGTCCTTTAGCATAGGATATCATATCTGGTTAGTTTGAGGAGATGGAGCAACGAATCTAGACTCTGACATAGCAAGGGTGTTGGAACTATTGAACTGGAACTGGAAAGCTAATAAGCTTTAAGAGATTCTGAGGGTATTATTCAATGGTAGAATACTTGCTTACCTACCCACGCATAGAGCCCTGGGTTCCATCTTGGATGGCAGGGATGGGGTGGGGGGCAGTTTCAGGAGACCTATCACCTCAAGGTTTCCACTACTTTCCAAACCAAACTGTGGCCAAAGCCTCTGACACAAAGGTCATGGGACGATGTTTAAAATCCAAACTGTCACATGGGTATGATGACTATGATTGTTTTATTACTCAATGATGCCCCCATACTGCAAAGGACGTGATGCTGGCATGTGACAACTCAACCGTTACACGGCACATGTCCTGTTCTATTGCTACTTATTGTTGTCAACCTCTTACTGTGCCTAACTTATAATTGCAACTCTGACACAGGTATAAGATAGGAAGAAACACAGCACAGATAGAGGTTCATACTATGTACAGTTTCCAGGGCCCACGAGAACTCTTGGCCATATCTCCTGCCACTTCTATGAGTGTTTAGAGCCAATCTGCTTCTTTGTACCACAGTATATTAACTGGATACAGATAGTTTTAGAACTTGCATTAAAAGAGGGGCAGTGCATAGTGATAAGCCAGCCAGCTCACCAGGTAGACAGGATCCCTGGTATGTACCTAGCAAGAGAACACTTGTTCCGAGTGTGAACTCTAAATCACCAGAGTTCACTTTGTAGGATTGAAAAAGCTATACTTTTAAATTTATTCCAAAAGGTTGTGTTGTATAGCATTTACATGATGTCTGATTTTAGACCACAGTGGGGTGGAACTAGAAGTCAGCAAGAGAAAGATAACTGGAGAATCTCAAGCAACACACTGCCAACTAACAAGGAAGACAAAGGAAGACTCCTAGGGGAAAAGCGATTGATGTGGAAGGTACAGCTTATCAAAATTGATAAGATGTAGCCAAAGCAGTACTTGGAGGGAAATTTATAGCACAAAATGTATATATATTAGAAAGAGAAGATCCCTAAAACCGGTCATCTAAGCAACTAGAAACTAAGCATCTAACCATCTAAGAAACTAGAAAAATATACAAATGAAATCCAGGATAACGATAAGATAAAAATTACATCGAAATCAATTGAATTGTAAATGCAAAGTCAAGTGAGAAAAAGCTGTTTCTGTTTTTCAAAAGATCAATGAGCCTTTCACCAGGAAAAAAAGGAGAAAAAGAGAGAAACACACAAACACACACACACACACACACACAGAGAGAGAGAGAGAGAGAGAGAGAGAGAGAGAGAGAGAGAGAGAGAGAGAGAGAGAACACAGTTGCTGAATTGTTGTTGGGCCTTCTGCATTGGAGACAAGAGCTGGTCCTTAGTATATCTGAAATGATAGATACCAGAACCAAACGTCTGCCAAAGCATATACAGGAAGAAAAAGCCAATAAGAATAGCTTTTCTATTACTAAACACTCAACAATCACCTTCTGAAACAGAAAGCACTGTGTCCAGATATTCACTGGTCAAGGTTATCAAACATTTAAGAAAGAAAACCTAATTTTCTGATGTCTCTTTTAGGAAATAGAGGCAGAAGAGATACTTCCTAACTCATCATGAATTCCTACCATCCAAACAAGAAAAGGCAAGAAAAAGCTACAAAGCAAGATTTTGCATGTTAGATGTAAACACTCTAAACAAACAAAAAAGACTGACAATACCCTTAACAAAGCAATAGCAAGAATTATCTAAGAATGAATTAAACCTAACAGGGAATTAAATGGATCTCTTTCTTTAAAAAAATTATATTTTATTGTATATTTTATTCATTTACATTTAAGATGTTATCCCCTTTCCTCATTCCCTGCCCCCCATAAACTCCCTATCCCATCCCTCCTCCTCCTTTTTGCTTTTATACCATTTTAATTACATGCAAGTATTAAGGCCAGTTCTAGGTTGAGGAACTAGCAATACAATAGATGCAAATATTCAAGGAACAAGCAAGACAATAAACACAAATAGTCAAAGAACAAGCAAGGCAATAAACAAAATTCTGTGATCACTGTTTCTAAGGGCTTATCAGGATGATCAAAATATCTGAGCCTACTTCCCTGGACCTAGCCCAAAGTCATTTTCACAGCTGAAGGCTACTTCTTTGTTTTAGCCAAAAATTTAGATTCCTGTCTGAAATTACTTCTTTGTTCTGCCTAAGATTTAAATTCCTGCCTGAAATTACTTTTTTGTTCTAGCCTAATGTCAGATTCCTGCCTGAAACTCATCTCCTTGTCCTTGGCCAATGTCAGGTTCCTGCCAAGCAATGGATCTTGTGGAATTATTCCAGGTGTGAAATGCATATTCAACATTAGGAACAAGATTTTTTTTTTTTATGCTGAACCTGTAGAGCAGGACAAACATAAGAACCAAAGGGCACCACACAGAGAGGAAGCCAAAGGGTCCCTGTCTACAGATGCAAATTTGTCTGTAGAAAATGTTAAAGAATCAAGATTAATGGAGAGAGAAGAGGGGAGGTGAGAACAGGAGGAAGCAGGCACAGGGAAGAGGAGGGAGGGTAGGGGAAGAAGAGGAGGAAGAGAAAACTCCCTTAGAGCCAATGCTTGGTTATAATAAGGTTCAGGACACAGGGTTAATAGGAAAAGTCAATCAATTCCCTATAAACTAGCCATGAATAAAGGAATTTAAAAACTAAAACCATTATCACTTAAACTAACACTTCTAAATGAATGATAAAAAATCTAGCCAAATACATACAAGGTTCATATGAAAAAAACTATGAAATTATGATTAAAAACCCTAAAGATTTAATTTCTGGAGTTTCATCCCATGATTATGGATGGAAAACATTGAGAGGGATCCTATAGGCTCATGTGTTTGAATTCTTGGTCCCCAGTTGAAATTGTTAGGAAAGGACAGATTGTGTCATTGTGGGTAGGCTTCGAGGTTTCCAAAGACTCTCCAGTGTTCGCCCTGCTTCCTGTTTGCAGATAAAACTGTGATCTCAGCTGCTCCTTCTACCACAACGCCACTTCGTCACTTCGTACTCCGCCAGCGTAACTAAATGCTTTCTTTATCAACTGCCCTCACGACGTCTTATCACAGCAATAGAAAAGCAACTGAGATAAAAGCTCAATGCTGTCAGAACCTTAGCTTCTCTGAAACTGAATTATAAACTTGAGGCAACTCCAACAAACTGGTTCCAGAAAGACAAGAAGCCCAGGATGATCAGCTTAGTAACAGAGAAGAATAAAGTCAGAGGGCAGACATGAATTCTAAGACTTACTATAAGCTACAGCAATCAGGACAGTACAGAATCAGTCAAATAAGAAAGTGGGCATTAGGTCATTACACTGTGGAGCCCAGAAAGGGGCCCATAAAAATATAGCTGTTCAATAGTTTACCAGGGAATAAAGCTAATATGAAGAAGTAAGCATAACCCTTTCTACAAGTGGTGCTAGGACGGCTGACCTTCGCATACAACAACAACAAAACAAGCAAATAAGACCCTCAGCTCAGACATAAAAGTGAGCTCAAAATGGATCATAGACCAAATATAAGATGCAAAACTATGTAGCTTCCAGAAAATAACAGGGGAGCTTTGGGTGACCTTGGGTATGGACTAATCATTTTAGATATGTCATCAATGTCCTGATTTAGCAGGAAGACAGACAGGAAGGAAGGAAGGAAGGAAGGAAGGAAGGAAGGAAGGAAGGAAGGAAGGAAGGAAGGAAGGAAGGAAGACAACAATAATAGCTAATGGTGAGCAAGACTTCAATAAAACAAAGAACTCTACTCTGCAAAAGACAGCTAAAGCAAAGAAGTTGACAGGCCACAGATTGGAGAAATGTATTTCCAAAATATGTCCCTTATCAGGGCCTAGTATCCAAATTAGACCCAAAACTCAGCAGTGCAATGAAAAATAGGCAAAATATGTGGACAGAAACCTCTCCATGATACTCAGATGGCAAATATATGAGGATATTGTACATGTTATGCATCATTAAGGTTTAATTCAATTAGATTAATTCAGTTAATTTCTAGTTAGGGTTTCTTAACCTCTGAGCCATCTCTCCAGCAAGTTAGGGATTCTATTGCTGTAATAAACCACCATAACCAACGCAACATGGGGAGGGAAGGGCTTGTTCGGTTTACACTTCCACATCACAATTCACTGTGGAGGGAAGTTAAGACAGGCACTCAAGTACAGCAGGAACCAGAGGCA